AGTAGAGTTACAATTTGCTCTGATAGTGCTTCAGCAATCAACGCACTTAGGAATCTCAACAACCTACACCCTCTGGTTAGGAAGATTCTAAACTATATACCTTGTGCTCAGAACTCCTATTCCCTCGAATGGGTGAGAGGTCATCAGGGTGTCCTAGGTAATGAACGTGCAGATCTACTTGCCAGGGAGGCTGCAACGATCGGTACCTCTGGCCCTTTCAATTATTCAGTGCTACCTGCTTCTTTTCTTAAGCTCCAGCATTGGAACTACAGCTTGGATCTCTGGCAGCAGAGATGGGATAGTTACAATGGCCTTGCCAGGAACTTTTTTCCATCTATTCATGACCACCTTTCTAACCACTGGGTTAGTCCGGACTATGAAACCACGCAATTCTTCACTGGGCATGGGAGATTCCGGGCCTACTTACAGAGGTTCGGCAAATCTACAACGGACATCTGTACCATCTGTAATTGCCGTGATGGGGTTGAGCACTATGTATACATGTGTCCAATGACCGAGGATGCTAGGCATGAGCTTGCCCTTGCTCTTAGCCACAGGGGAATTAACTGGCCATGTGAAATTCATGTCTTTCTTAAGGATAGTGACACCTACAAAGCATTCAAAAAATTGATTCATAAGTATCACATACGCTCCGTCATTCACTAAGTTAGTCAAGTCTGTCATCAGGCATTATTTTCATTTGCTTCCTTCACATTATTGTATATACGTATCATTATTGTTTTGCTGCAGCATATATCCGTGTAATATTTATTATTACTATTAGTATTGTCTGTTTTAATTTACTGTACATGTTATTCTACTCATGTTTTGTATAATATCGGTTGATTTGTATTGGTCATCTTACCATCTGTTTATACTTTTCCATTGTCATACTGTTTGTACGTTATCTGTCTGTTATTATGTATGTATTTACCTGTGCTTTGATATATGTCTTTATTTGACCCGATTATGCTCTTGCGGTATCGGGAGTAAATAAAGATAAAGTTAAGTAAAAGTATAATTAATACTAGGTCTTCAGGGTTCCCCCAAGCTGGGGTTCATGTTATGTTATGTTATGTTTAGTTCTCTCTAAATTGTCATATACATTTGTATTCGCAAAGTCGCGAGTTGTCTACCGTAGTCTGTTTTTTCGGCGATCTGTTGTACTTTACAAATTGGAGCAGTTTCATTGTTTTTTTCAGGCATGTACTGTACCTACATTTTGTATTACATTTATTTGGGTTTAATTAAACGGAGCAGAGTGCTAACGCTTACAAATCTCTTCTTCACACTTTCCTATCATACTTACCCCATGTTTCCCTTTCCCCCATCTCTTATCCTCTTCTCACTTCTCTTCTAAGGCTAAGACTCTGGTACGGCCTTAACTTTTACAGAGAGAAAGGTAGGTATTTAATAAATAAGTAAGAAATATAATTTAAATAATTATTATATTGAACTATTTCCTTATTTTACTTTGTCTTTTTGCTATAATATTATTTTAAGTTGTCGTGTTTCAATTTATTTGGATATTAGAACGAATTGTAAAAAGTATTATTGCAAAATAATAAATTTGATAATTAGAAAGAATATATTAAACTTTTCTTATTGTTAAAATAAAATAAATTTAATTAAGATTTGTGATCGAAAAATTCATTTTGTGATTAGAATCGACCAAACCACTACTACTCTGGTAAATATATCAGATATATTCTTGTAATATAATATTGTATATTTACGTTTTCATAAATTTTATTTCCATTTGCATTTCCTAAATCGAAAAGCTATTAGCCATTGATCGGAAAGTTTTACGACATTTATGAAATTGAATTTATATAAGATTTAAGTTTCATAACCACAATGATTACAACAGAGAATTACTCTAAGAGATCGATAAATAGGCTTCTATTTAAAGCAGAGATGCAATTTATTACAATCAATTCGATATAATTTCTTTGTAATTATTTCATGGTATTCAATTACTTTTGTCTCGATATTCGTCTGATAATTGTTATACTGTAATAATAACACTACAAAGTGTCGAGACGATAAATTGCACTGTAATAAAATTTTTTTATTGTAAATTTATTCAACGGTAACACTGTAAAAATTCATTCTCATCTTAAAAATTTCAAACTTTTATACAATTCAATTTATATCTAAATCTGCTCAGGTACTATTGGGTCTATTTAACCCCACCCTTGTTTTCACTATGCCCAACTAATCGTGATAATTTCTAAAAGAAAATATTACGATTAGTTTCCTAGCCTTCCGCGTATTTTATCGTAAGCTATTTCTAAGTATGTGACACACGTTCGACAGTTTCAAAGTCTTTCCGCTTATTTTTTAGTTACGTTTATATCAGCTTCAGGTCAAATTGACCCCATAGTACCGGTACCTTCAATGTGATAAAAGAATATTTTTCAAATTTCGAGGTTGCGTGACATACAGGGCATAATAATATGGCGACACGACGAAAACTTTTTTACGAAGATATTCTGCAGTGTTCAGATGAGCTAAGTAGACATAACACTGAAGACATTTTCAGCTGATTTATCGATTTTTATTTGAATTGTAAGTACCGTTTTTTTTTCTAATACACAACGAGTAAAATATAATCGTCCGTTAATGAATTAAAAACTAATTTTTTATAATGATTTTTCAGCTGTATGATAGGAAACATAGGAAAGTATTGTTCTTTTATTTTCACACCCGAATATAGTACGTTGTTTGTTTTACTTTATATTCGTAATATTGTTTATAGACTTAACGAACGCATATTATAATGTCCCAATATCGAAATTATGAAAGACATTACAAAAGATAAATACTAATAACACGCTTATTAAAGCAGATAAGGAATTATATAGAAAATCTATAACGAAAATAAATATTAAGAAAAAAATATCAGAAGAATTTACGGTGTCAACAACACTAAGACAAAAATGTTGCAATTTAGCAACTTAATTTATAAAAAATAAGTAGAATAAGTATTGAAAATATGGAAAAGAAAATGTTATGATATGGGCATAGATATTAACAATAAACCAATATTTACATTGCAATTTTCAGACGATCAGATGATAACTGCAGAAGATAAGGATAATCTAAGTGACAATAAAAATATAACAGAAATATTTTATAAAAGGATTACATATAAACACGAGTGAAACAATATATTTGTGCATAGGTGGAGCTAAAACAGACACGGAAATAGAAAAAGGAAAAACATTGAGAAAGGTTAACATCACAATTATCTTGAAATATAAATTCATTAAAATAGAAGAGATACATTAGAAATTAATACAAAATTAGCACATGGTAATAAAGCAGTTAAAAGATTAAACGGAATATGGTAAAGAAATAACTTAATCAAGATAAAAATAAATAAATAAATATATATATATATAATGCTATTGTTAAAAGCATTCGGTTGTGCACAGAGAAAGACTGGGATAGAGAAGAGAAAAGTTACAACGGTTAAAATAAATGCATTGAGAAGATCGTGCAAAATCTCAAAAAATAATCAATAACTAATGAGAGATTCAAAGACCAAATGAAATTGAAAAAGACTGTTTTAGAAGAAATAAAGAGAAAACAACTTATTTTATTCGGACATGTAAAAAAAAAATGAGTGACGACAGACTTTTGAAAATGTCAATGGAATACATTCCACATAAAAGGAAAAAGAAAGGAAGACCCAGACAAACTTAGTACGATGAAGGAAACTTAGCGTGTTGTGAAAAAGGGGTTAAAGAGGAATGGTGTATGGATAAAGAGAAAGACAGAGAGGGTACTTGGAGATCGGAGGGCGACGTCTAGACGCCATAAACAGAATATAGATACTGCAGATAGATTATATAAACAGGAAATTATTAGAGAATGCTTAAAAATATAACCGATAAATTTGTAATATAAGTAGCATTTAAATATGAAATTTAATTAAGTTTTAATACTTTGTATCATAGTTTGTATCATTATTTATTAGAGTAACTTAATTGTACACGTGTTATTGGAAAGATGTAAAGCATCGATTTCATTGACATATTTTAGGAGGAACAGAAATTCCTCGTAAAATAGTAATGTCTTTTATTGATTTTAATCATTCCAATCCAAATTATGTAATTTGTGATTCGTGTTGAATCTTTTAATAATCGTTTGAGAAATTTATTAAAGGCAAAACTAATTTATATTTTTCTCCACGCAGGTAAATTTAATAATAAAAGAATTCTTGAATTTTAAAACTGTTCTGTTCTTTTTACTATATATAACTACGCTTTTTTATAATATATAAAAGTCAACATGTGTTTTTACTTATACTTGTTTTAACGTTATACAAATGATTTTATGTTACGGCTGCGAATAGGGCATAAATAATCTTTCACATCCAAATCGTACAAAAAGAATTATTTTTTAATCAACTCTGTAGAAAATTGTATATTGTTGTATTGAGTCTTGTGTTTATTGTAGTGTTTTTCTTAATGTTTGTCCTGTAAATTTTACCTTAAGTCTTAGCAACTTTTTGTGATTTTCAATTTCATTATTGTAAATACTTAGTCAATTAATGAACATTTTAGTTACAAAAACTACTTTCCCCCTGTTTGAACCACTTTTCACCAATCCATTGTATTGCCTAAGAATGCTGAGTACGTAAATATAATTGTCTAGTCTTAGTCATAAACTACTCATGGAAATGTACTCTTCTGATTAATCAAAAAGATTACAATTGCCGATAACTAAATAAAATAATAAGATGTGAACATGTAATAAAATTATAAAAGAACAAAAGAAAAATAAATTAAAAAAGCTATATTTCTGCTCTACGTTTATAATAATTAAGTCATTCAATTCGTCTATAATTGCTTCAATAAACAATACATCTTGTCTCCAAAACATTGTAATTTTGTGTCAAAAATATATACAACTACTTAAAGTTTAAGTCTAAAATATATATTTTTTAATGCGAATGTACAAGGTAACTATTCAGAATATTTTGGTAAATTAAATTCTTTCGTTAGTCAGTTGAGCTTAGTCGTTTCTCGTAATGTCAATACTACAATTAAATAGAAAAGCATTCATCCAATTTTATATTAAATATTAAATATAGGTATTTACCTCGATGAATATAGAGTAAAATTTATATTCAATTACGTATACAAAAATCAAATAACGTATCGCAAATGGAATATAAATCGAAATGTATTGATGGCGAATTGTTTCCAAGCAACAATTCAGTTTCTACAGACCGTAACGTGATTGGATTAAACACTGGTTAACGTCACCCTATTGATTTTCTACAATTGCGTCTATCAAGCAATCACTAACCATCTTATGATTTACGTATTCACTTCATAGAATATTCTACTGGAGACAAAACGACTTAAAGCGTTATTCTAACTTTCGTATTATTCTCAGTGTATATTGCCGAATCTGTCTTCTGTTACATTTTAATTGAAGTCAACGATTAACTTTGGTGCACTTCGCGACTGTACAACGAAAGAATCTTTGCACCTGTTTCGTACAAAATGCATTCACCACACAGCAATTGCATTGCCACAAAACTTCGACCTTTGATTTCTGTTTCCGAAGTATTTGGTTTGAATTTCTTGGAAACTTGTGATTGTCAGAAAAAAAATTCAAGAAGAAATCAAAAACTTTTTAAAGTTTATACGAATTTACTCGAAGTATTTTTATGGACGATTTTTTTAATGATTACAGTAACGATTGCGTCTGATGGCGTTTGCATTCAAATACTTTCGATATTTGAAAATAATAAATTTTTCATTATGATCGTTGGATGGAATGCTTCCTTGTACACAGCTTTACAATTCAGTATTTTGCGAAGAAAAAAGATTAATGTTCATCATTTGATGAAAGATTTTAAAGAAGAAGAAGAATTTATCGAGAAATATGAAGGTTACATTATTTATTATTTCTGTTGTTACGTTTTGATTGTCTTAGCTTGCTCCACAATGAGTTCGTACTTTGATTATTCTGCTCTCAAATCAACACATCACAATTATAAAATGTCTTTCCTTTGTGCTATTAGCATCGGACTTTGGCTCGTTTATATTACATCTCACATAGTGTGTATACTTCTTTTTTTTCTAGTTATTCTCTTACTTATAGGAAGAAAGTTGATAAATATGTCTGTTCAGTTGAAACTTGCAATTAACGCAAGCAAATCGTTTATTGATAAACTAATCAGAAATCTTTGGGAAATTTGGCAGATATTTGAAGAAATGAACGATAAATGGAAGGCGCTTTTCCCTCTTATTTACGGTTATTTTCTCTACCAAACTTGCTTCTATGTATATATCGCTCTCTTCGTACGTCTTGACGTAATTTTTCGTGTGACGATCGCAATAATCGCAGTGGTATTTTTCATTGGAGCTTTAATAGTGTCGTGGGCATTATCAAATTTTACCTCAATCGTGAGTATTGTTCTAATTAATATAAAAGTTATAAAATATAATTGTTTAAATAATTAACTTAATATTTATTTTTTATAAATATACTTCAGATATACGACAGTTTTATCAACATCGGGAAATATAACTCTTCTATTTACCCATTGACATACAGATTTAAAGTACATTATTTATTAATCTTATTGCATATGTAATGTAATTTTATTAATAATTGCATAATTTCAGATTATTTGCTTAATGAAAAGATTCGGAGGAAGACCTTTCGGGATATCGATGTGGGGATTTTTTTACGTCAAAAGAAATTTTTTGATCAGGGTAAATACGTCTTATTACAGTGTTGTTTATAGTTTTATTAGCGAATATCGTATTTATATATTACGGCAAATATAAATTTTCGATGTTAAAATACAAATTGCAATTATGGTTACTTATAAAAGTTAATTGAACGAAACATACTTTAATCTGAAAATTTTTATTTTGTTATTAATTTTTAGAGTGTTGTAATCAGCAACGTGTAATCATTACTTAAAATATTATAAAATTAGTTATAACGCTTTAATTCATAATGTATTTTCAGTATAGTGGTTGAAAAAAGAGAAATCTTTAGAAATAATCATAAATACAAGAAGTATTTTTGCTGCTGTTTTATTTATTATACTTTAAATTGTTTTCAGATGGTGAGTGGATTGTATTCGTTTTTTTCTACTCTAATTGAATTGACCGGTGTTCTACAAAATAAAAGATGCTCTGCTGAAAGCTCTTTAAACTATACGTTCAAGAATGAAACATATAATTGAAAGTTTTCATACCGGCACATTTACTGGAAAACTTTTTATGTACGACAGCCATTAATTTTTATTGAAAAAGTACGGAAATTTCACTGTTAATAAGGTTAGTTACTGACAAATAACGTGTTCCAACAAATTCATAAACAATACTTTTAGCAAGAAATTCGACAATATAAAGTAAAAAGCTTACTGTTTGTTTAGAACGATGAGTGTAATGCCTTTCCTTCAGTGATACAGTCTCTAAAACTACTAATATAATCTGGATTGCAAGCCTTGTGTTATTTTAGTGCTGCAGTTTAAAGTCTACAGATGTGAATGAAAACTCGCAGCTGACCAATTGAAATGGACAATGTCGATATATCAATGTGGTCGAAAGAATTTTTATGATCTTTACAAAAAATGTATTTCTTACAAACACATATGGCCAAATACTCGAATATTATAAGTTTCCTTACAAAACTTCAATACATTGCTGAAAACATTGATAACTATAAAGAGACTAGAATACCTTTAAACTCGAGTTGTACAGACTTACAAATTCAAGCTTGATTCCGAATAGAGTCAATTATCTTTGAGTTCATCAAAATTTCTAAAATTGCAGTAAAAATTTTATAAATTGTTACGAAACTTAGAGATAATATATTAATAATTTTGATATACGCATCCTTTTACTGAAATTTTTTCTCAAAGACATATTACTCGTGTTAACGTAATTCTTTGTTTTATTCTATAGTTTGAAAACATGTCAGATATTTAGTATTGTGTAAATTACTTAGAGGAAAAATAGACACATATAGAACAGTTATGTATAGTATATAGTTATAAGAAACAAAACACTGCATTAATTTAGATGCATTTGCATGTATTAATATTCTGCAAAAATTTTTAGTATTGTTAGAATGATTTGCGTGCTGACTTCTAATAAATAATGACACCAATTTAATTGATTTATTTTAATAGCAGCGTTTTGCTATAAATTAACACTTAATGCAAATAATTGTTATAGTCAATAGAACAGTACTAAAATGGCGCCACTGGAGTATTTATAATGAAAGTGTATTCTTACATAGTGTTAGGATTAAATAAATTTATGATAAAAAGAACGTTATGAGAGTGCAATTATTCGTCTTCACAAAATTACCCGTTAATTTTATAGTGTTATTATCAAAATACAATAATAATCAGACGTATATCGGTGAAACCTAATTCCATTTTACGAAATAATTAAGATGATGTAAGTATCGAATTGATTCTTTAAGAATTTGCAATTGTACTCGAAATAGAAGCATATTTATCGATCTTTTAGAGTAATTCTCTATTGTAATAATTGTGTTTATATAGCTTAAAACTTATATAAATTCAATTTCATAAATTATTTATCGTTACATTTTTATCAGTACTTTTCAATTTAATTACTTAGTCTACACAAGTAACATACTTGTATATTCAGTCTCTTGTAAATATTGAAATAATTATAAGACAGAGTTTTCCTGATCTGTCGGGGAATAAGTTACCACGTACCATACGTAAAAGTTTTCACGCTTGTTATGTCCTGAAGTAAGCTTTTACCTGACCCTTTACATACCGGAATGGCAAAACTCCAAAATTTGTATCTAAGCTTGTCCTAACAATTTTGTAGTGTATCGACATTACGAAGAATAACTCTTGTAAACTTATAGTTACGTGCTTTTGGAGAATTATCGTGTTCGCAAATGGCTACAGTTAAACTCTCTACTAAATATTTGTTTTTATAAACAGAAAATGTGTTTGAAATTATTACAAATACAGTGCCGCTAGTTCTTATGTCTTTTTAAAATGAATATCAATTCCCATGATAAAAATTGCGTTGGGCAGTATCTGCCATATCTGTGCTTTCATTAATGCTAAAGCATAAAATGTAAACACGGATGATCGACTTTTCAAATTGTCTTCAATATAGTTTCCAATGTCGTCCACCCTCCTAGTAATAGTCTGACTAGACAGACTTAGATGCATAATTTTTTAAAAAATTATTTGAGCCAATAGCTGTTCCAGCTTTAATAATAAATGTTTTTTTGTCCGAAATTATATATCAATACTCAGATATATCCGCGATAGTCACAATCAATTACTCCCGCATTAATTAAAATATTATTTAAAGATAAAGAAGATTTTGATGCAATTCTATCGTAGTAATCACTTGGCATTTCAACAGCCAGATCTATAAATGTTAATTTTTGTTCATTTGGGTTAATTACGGTGTCATAATTACAAAATAGATCATATCTAGCAGCTCCTGCAGAAACTTTTTCTGAACTTATAATGCTTTGATCTACAATTTACTAAATTATTTCTCTAAATATTAATATATTCCTTTTATTCTTATNCATTTGGGTTAATTACGGTGTCATAATTACAAAATAAATCATATCTAGCAACTCCTGCAAAAACTTTTTCTGAACTTATAATGCTTCTATCTACAATTTATTAAATTATTACTATGAATATTTATATATTCCTTTTATTTTTATTGACATAAACTTCGCTCATAACACCCGAACATTCCTGGAACGAATAATATAATTTATTTCTAATTTCGTTAATTCTTCCATCTTCATCAACAATTATAAAACCGAATTTTCCAGCTCTTTCGCATATTTCTCCGTTCACTTTAAAATCATGAAAAAGAATAGAGATTCATAATTAATTCAAGTACTAAAATACTATTACTAATTCAAGTATTAAAATATTATTTCAAAGTGAAAAAATAAATACCAGTATTAATAATAAAACTTTGGTTACTCGACAAATTTTTATAATAATAAATTATTATTTAAAATTATATTAATGTATTTGAAGACAAAGTCCGCCCAAATAAAGATCACAATTTATGAATTTAAAACACGGCAGACCCCCTATAATGCAGATTCCTATAACGCGGCGAAAAATTGCGACAGTATTTGTATAAAGACGCTAAAATGGACGCATAAAACGTCATCGCCAACTCGTGTCGCGACAGGATTGGTCGAATCTTGACCAATAGTAGACGAGCAGCCGAACTACTTACAGGCTACAGAGTTTAGTCCGATAAGTTGAGTTTACTGTCGTCTGTACAGTATGTAAATTAGGTATTGTAAGTCTAATACAGCACTGTAATTTTATAAATTTCTTGTGAAAAAAACATTTTTTATTCAACGGCCATAAAAATTATCTATATTAATGATGTCTCCAATGTTCAAACAATTTTTGGCAGAAAAACAACTTATCAAAAATCGCGGCTGCCGTTTGGTGAGCTGCTCCGCGACGAAAACACGCTTAAGCAAAGACGACGTCGAACGGTGCACACTCGGTAAGTAATCCTACAATTTTTTTGTTTTTAGCATAGTTTATACAAATTATTCCCAAAAAATTATACGTGTTTTGAAAATGTTTTGAATTAGTGAAAAATCGATGAATTTTGTAAAAGAAAACCTTTCAAACAGCCGTAGTCCCTAAACTGCACACGTGTCGGGCTGTGATTTGATCATGTATTTAAGGTTTCCTACAATGCGAAATTTGTATAACGAGGAACGTATCTACCGCATTATAGGAAGGGTCTACTGTATTGCCGAGATTGTACAGTCTGGAATACGAAATTAATAAATGGAATAATAAATTAATAATTTGGGCGGACTTTCTCGTCAAATGTTTAACACTCGTTCATTCAGCGATCCTTTCTTCTATAAGAATATTCAAGAAACGAATTTTTTGAAGGAAAGTATTTTATTTTAATATTTTCATTACAATATATAATAATAAATTTAATTTTAAAATATGATTTTGATTAAAAAAAATGGAAAACAGCTAAGAAAAAAAAACTACTAGCCAAAAAGTAATGAACACCATCAGTCTAAAAAGCATAAATTCGACTTGGATTTAACTCTGAACAAAAGTAAACCTATGAATTATTAACATCTAATAACCTAGCTTATTAAATATTAAATGTAATGATAATTATTGTTATTTTCTATTGTGTAATTGCTCGTATGTATCTGAATATTCACTGCAATTTAGTCATAAAAAATATATATCACACAATTTCTTAATTAGTTATTAATGTCAAAAAAATCTGGAATACAAAAATTTTGTAAATGTTGTCTCCGTGGCTTTCAAAGAGATCATACCTACAACCAGCAATTATTTATTGTCACATCGTCACAATGCCGGGCTGCAATTTTTAATTCATTTAATTAAAAATATATGCTCAACTTACTAGTGGATTGTCCTGTACTATACGCCATACTTATCTTTTAACAATAGTCAAACTATGTAACAATAGAGATCATCTAACACCATTTGGTAAAAATTTTTGAATTGAAATCACGTGACTTCCTATTTAGATCGGAAGTACGTATACAGTGAATCCGGGCCGCCTGCCCATAACGTTTTCCTATCTGTTCTCCTCCTTCATATACAGTTGACCTCCTATAAAACGGGTTTTTATAATTCGGATTCCTATATCACACCGAAAACCTTCCTATATTCGTAACTGCTGGTTTTCGTACGGGATCCTATAAACTCCTGCTTTATCTTTGTTTTTGATATCCCCTTTATCATTTCTTAGAATCTTGTACAGATTCGGGGCTCGTTTTACGATCAACGTTGACCCTTTACTGTCCGCAATCTCCTTCATTATGGTTCTTACATTTTTGTTGAATGTACACTTTGTGTATTTACTAGGTTCTTGTTTTGAGGCCCTTGTATCGCCTATCTCAAATTTTTTAATAATGCTAGCGATCATGTTTCTCCAGTAACCTAAGGTTTCTGCTATCTGCATAATCCTTTTCATTTCTTTATTTCTGTCCATAATGTTATCGCAATATAGATAAGCCCTTTTAACTAAGGCACGAAATACTGCTAATTTATAACGAAATGGATCATTGGACTGCGCAGGAATGTAGAGTGGGCTATACGTTGGTTTAGTATACACACTAGTAGATAAATGCTTTTTCTTATAGATGATATTGATATCGTAGAAGTGTATCACAACGAAACTTTTTTGCTCTAGCTTCAGGTTTAGGCCGTCTTTGTTATCGTTGATTCTTTCTATAAAATTACTGCTTTCTCGATTATTTTTCCATAGTATAAAGATGTCGTCGACACATCTCTTGAAATAAACAATATCATTTCTGAAGTTATGCACAAACTTTTCCTCTATTTTTCTTACCACCAATTCGCATAGAAGCCCCAATATTGGGCTTCCCATAAAAACTCCTCAGTTTTGTTTGTACGTTTGGCCTTCAAAGCCAAA